CGTCCTCACAAGTTCTCGGATTGCCAGCTCCATTTTTCTGGACAATGACGCAGCAGGTTGTGGCCTTTTCATGTTCCTTGTTCGCGATGGTGCTGCACAGATTCTCGCGTGGAAGAATTGGATACTGGCCATCAAAGCTGCAGTCCTCGAGGCATGTTTGCGTGCTTGCTCTCTGCTTTGCACTGAGCATTGGATTGAATAACTTCTCCCTGTCGCTTGTGAGTCTCAACATCAACACGATTATAAAGGCCACCAGCCCGCTTGTGACTGCAGCGGCAGGGGTGCTTATACTTGGCAAGCAAGTGATTTGGCAGGAGTGGGTCCTCCTCATTTTGGGAACTGCTTTTGTCGCATCAAGCATCGCAGCAGCCAATACCCGTTCGCAGACAACCTTTATTGTGGGTGTAGCTGCAGCTGTGCTCTCAACCGTGGCAGGCTCCATCACGCTCACTATTGTTGAACTCTTTCACACCATGCCAGTGAAGCTGAATGCTCTAGATTCTGCGGTGTACATGTCGCTGCCTGCAGCTGTCCTTCTAAGCCCGTGTCTTGCCCTGCCCCATGTGACCCAAAACTGGGTGAGCATCTTGTGCAAGCAGCAACGCAGCACAGATGCTGAGGTGATCTTGATGACAGACAGCTGGATTAAGTTGTCTGCAATGGCTCTGCTTAGCGGACTTTTCGCCTACTTCTACAACATCTTGCAATTTTACGCGGTACAAGTACTTTCATCTACACAAACAGCATTTGCTTCAAACATCTCCAAGGTGGCCATAGTGGTCTTCTCCGTTTGCGTGCTGGAGCATCTGGAAGCTGACGGTGTCAGCCCCCGTCAATCTTCACTCGTCCTTGTTTCGGGCGCTGGCGGCCTTGGGAGCTTTTTGCTATACTCCGTGACCAGAGGCGACAGAACCATTGGCCCAGCTCAAGTGATACCGATGCTCGTGCTCAGTGCATTGGCAGGGGGCCTGGCAGCTTTGGCATTCCTTCCGGCCGCAAGGGTAGTGATCTCCAGGCTGTAAGATGCATCTGGCTTGCGCAAGGCGGACGGGTGATGGAACCTGGCTGCCAGGTTTCTTGGCTGCCAAGCTGGGTCAAACGGACACAAGGGACGCGGCGGTATGTGGAGTGTGGCAGGCACCTCACAGGCACAGAATCGCAACATGCTGAATCTGCTCAGTCGAGATGGTAAGCAGATGTCGGTGCACACACTTTGCAAGTAGCTAGCGGCAGGGACTTTGCAGATTCCCTGTTGTTAAGTCCCCCTCGCTGGCCGAGCCAGCTGTCAAAGTACACGTGGAAGGCTCGTACAAAGCTGCCCATTCACGGGATGCAGACTTTCAATCATTTTTCTGGGATTTACCCTCTTGGTAGGCATGGGAGAGCATGCCGATGGGTAAGTTGAAAGTTGCTATCTGTTGAGGCCTGGATCTCGACATGGCGATGCCAACCTGGACCCGCTTGGAGAAGTTCGTGGGGAGTGTCAGGCCTGGGAGTCACCTTGAGGCTATGCATGGGTGATGGATTCTCAGTGTTTTCGCTAGGGCTTCACAGTCTCACGATTGGATCGGTGTTGCGACGGACCGGGAGGAAGCCTTCGGCACAAGCGACGGTCTTTCTCCTTTTCCGCGTTGGGGCGGTCAAGCAAAGCCGGTTGGCGTTTCGCACTTCCCGCTAATTGCCTCTCACTGCAAAGGCCTCGGCGCAGAAGCGTCTTTTAGACGTCGATATTGCTTGCATTGTGTTTTGGTGGTCACCAGGGAGCTGTCAGCTTAACCAATACTTGGAACTCGACTCGTTTTGCTTTGCCAGGGGACTTAAGCAACTGGAGCTTATGTTTCACGAGTTCCCATTTGCCAGATCCCTCCAACTCGACTCTTGCCTAATTCCCTATGGCAAGCGCCGATGAAAGAGAAATTCACAGCCTGACTTGCGAGGCTGCAAAGTGCTCCGGATACCTGGCGCCAGAGGAGTCATCGATAAAGCGTGGCATTTGGTCACGGAGTCCGTACGGTCTGCTAGGATTCTGCTTCTTACGTCAATGACCCCAAATCCACACTGTGCAGGTCGGGCCAAATGAGGGCGATTTGTTGGACATGCATGAGCTGGCTAGCTAAGACTGAGCAGCACGGGTGTGACAGGCGCTGTGGGCATGCCTTTCTGGAGCACAAGAAAGGCCTGATCTGTGAAACTTGTGGCTATGGGCACGCTGTCCTGACGTCTTTTTCTTTTTTCCTCCCGCAGCTGTGAAGCATCAGTGCTTTGCTTGAGCTTTGGCAGCATGGCCCAAAGGACTGGGCTTGAAGTATCTTGAGTGGGGATTACGCGTCTGACATTTGTCCATCTGCCAGTTGTCTTCCTTGCCAACAGAGAAAGCTGGTTGCTTGTGGATTCGGAGATCCTGTCATGTTGCGAGGAAGCTGCTGCTGCCATTGACCATTCTGGCGGTCTTCGCCTGGAATGCTTGGCATCTTGGCTGACCAATACCAAGTCACATCTTGGATACTGTTTACTCAGTCAAGGTTGCCGGAACCTTGACAGACAGCTCAACAAAAAAGGCTGAGCTTTGTGGCTCGCAGCAAACAGCAACGCTCCGCTTTGGAGCGTGGACTGTGTAGTCGCCAGGTTCGCCTTTGCCCCACCTCATGCGCCTCACGGGCCTGTCGGGGGCATCGACCATGGGAGCATCAGCGGAAGATCCTCGAGGCACTCATTCCACATTACGATGAATCTGCGCTTTGAATTAGACAAAAAGTTGTCCACTGCCCGTCCTTCCAACTCTTATCAAACTTCACTTTCACTCGGGTCCCCCTCTTTTTAGATGTGGTGCCTTGACGAAGCAAGCTTCATGTGGGACATGCAGGAGCCTTGTAGCGCTATCTGCCAGAGGCGGCGAGTCTGAGGATTCTGAGGAGAGCTTTGCCATGCTCATATCAGCCACGTGAAGCCTTTGGCTGTTCCTTTGTTTCAGGACGAGCCAGTTGACGTTGGTGGCTTTTCTGCCCTTGTCGTTGGCCTTGCCTTCCTCCCTTTCGTTTGCTGCTTGGCATAGTGACAGCAGGCATATCCAGCTCCCAACTGTGATGTCACACATCTTATTCCATGCAGACAAATTTTGGCCACCACATATTGTTTGAATTTGATGCAGTAGTCTGAAAGTTGGCAGCTGCGTTTGGACTTGCCTTGAAGGAGCACATGTATCATGTGTGACAAACAACGAACAATCTCCACGTTTAGTTTCGCGCCATTGCATTCATGCCAGATGAATCAAGAGCTATTTACCGAGCTAAGGTTATGCCCTGTCCTCTGCATTCTCCGTGCTCTTTTTGGGACAGTCATTTGAATTGGGCCCGTTTGGTCTGCAGCTGATATCCCTGGTCCTGTCTTTGGGGTGCCCGAGCTGCAATGACTATCCGATACGCACACGGTGGGTGTAATAAAAGTTGTGCTCGTGGCATGTTGAGCTTACCGAGCTTATCCCAAGAAGCTCTGCATGCAATTTTTCAGCTGAGGTTGGTGTGCTGGTCACTTGGCAGCGTGTTCCAGCGCGGAAGCGGGCTGCCAGCTGGATGGCTTGGATTGCTGGGCATCGCGGAGGCGGCATCCCTAGCTTTGCAAGGACATACACACCTTTCGTTCGAAACGGCTTGCTGGAAAGAGAGCGCTCCCTAGAACACTGAGGGACTATCCTACTTGGCAGCTCTTCTTACTATCTTGGCAACAGTGGCATCAACCTTCAGGGGCCCACCTCCTTCCGAGAGCAAGGCTGGCATTTGGCGTGTTCAAGTAGGGTGCAAGTTCTCCGGCCCTTGAGATGGCATTCTAAATGTGCGAGGTAGCGGCGCCGGTATTCCGATCATCACCTGGCTCCTCTTATTCAGCCCCGCCATTCAGAAGCAGCCTTCCCTCGACTCCATCGATGCCGCAGTTCAAGGCTCCAGAAATCAAGATGCCCTCAATGCCTGCTTTGCCCAGTGTGAAGGCCCCAGAATTGCCGGCTTTCAAGGCACCTGAGATCAAAGTTCCTAAAGTTCCAGAGTTCAAGGTGCCAGAGATTACGGTTCCAGACATTAAGCCAAGCCCGCCCAAAGTCGAGAAGCCAGCGCAGAAGCAGTACTCCTCCGATCTTGATGATTTGTTCGGCTTGGACGTAGTTTCGCCAAAGAAGCCTGACGCGGCGGCGAAAAAGGCTGAGGAGGAGAGGAAAAAGGAGGAAGCCAAGAAGGCAGAGGAGGAGCGGAAGGCTTGACCGGGAAACCTACCTCAACGGGACCAAACATGCGGAGGACGTTCATGAGGGGCAAACACCAAGAAAAGAAGGACTTTCATCAAATACACATCTATGCTATTTTCCCGCGCACAAGCAAATGCCACACCTACGACAATCGCTGGTGATGCTAATAATGCTAGTGATGCGGGCCATGCTGGTATGTTGTGCTACTGCAAATGCTGTTGGTGTTGGGGATGCTGATGATGCTGATGCTGCTGCTGATACTGGAGATGAAGCTGATTAGACTGATAATGCTGGTGATGCTGGTCATGCTGGCGATGTTGGGCAAGCAGCAATGCTGGTGATCCTGCTACTGCTGACAGTGCTGTTGATGTGCTGCTGATGCTGTTGGTGTTGGTGATGCTGATGCTGCTGCTGATGCTGCTGCTGATGCCGATGATGGATGATGCTGCTGCTAATGCTGATTCTGCTGCTAATGCTGATGCTGCTGATGCTGATGCTGATGATGCTGATGACGATGATGATGATGATACTGCCAATGCTGATAATGCTGATGATGCTGATGATGTAGGTGATGCTGATGATGCAGGTGATGCTGGTGATGCTTGATGATGCTGACGATGAATGATGAGGATGAGGAGGAGGATGATGATGAGGGTGACGATGATAATGAGGGCGAGAGGATGATGATGAGGAGGATGATGATGATGATGCTGAAAATGAGGATGATGAGGAGGATGAGGATGACGAGGATGATGCGGACGATCAGGATGATGAGCGATGAGGATGATAATGCAATGACAATTGCAATTGCTCATCTGGTTGCAACGTGTCTTCGCTGCTTTAATTTTTACCTTCAACACACACATCATGTTTGTTTGGCGGCGGTTGGATAACTTGACTGGTCAGAAAGGACTCGCCTAAGGACGATGCAGGTTTCAAATTCAAATCCGGAAACACGCTGAATTTCCAGTGGGGATTGTATAGCTCGAAAGCTTGCCGCGGATACTGAGAATCGGATCGCAGGCCCTCCTGAACCTGTCTCGAACCCGTCCAAAGGACTTTGTCAGTCCTATAGTGCCTTTGCACAGGTAAGCTAGAGTTTAGGATGATAACTGTTGTACAATTGGTACAATTGCGTAGTGTGAACCTTCTTCGTAGAACTTCTCATCTTCGTCTGCATCTTCAACTTCTTCCTAGTCCTTCTAAACACGATAACACGCAAATGCGCTTTTGGGTAGCAACATGGCATAGTCAGCAGGAAAATGCTGATGGACTGCTATCAGCAGAAAGTAGTTGCCTTGCCAGAAGCTCACCCAATATGGAGCAAGACTCACAGACTCACAGACACAAAGCAAGAAGTTTAAACACAACTTGATACGTGCAGACTGAACAATCCCACAAGCACATTAATTAAACACTGCATCATGGGAGACAAATAGTCACCTTCGCAGCTTTCTTAGCAGTAGCAGCACTAGAAGTGCTAGGCTTGTAAGTAGGACCTGGTTGTGCCGCTGAATGTTGCCAACCTGCTTGCATCGGTTGACTGTGCAAACGCCAGGCAGAAGAGGCGAGGAAACGCGAGGAGGCCAAGAAGGCAGAAGAGGAGAGGAAGGCAGAAGAGGCCAGGAAGCGCGAGGAGGCCAAGAAGGCAGCGGAGGAGAGGAAGGCAGAGGAGGCCAGGAAGCGCGACGAGGCCAAGAAGGCAGAAGAAGAGAGGAGGGCCGAGGAGGCCAGGAAGCGCCAACAGTCAGAGGAAGAACGAAAGGCGGAAGAGGCCAGGAAGCGCGAGGATGCCAAGAAGGCAGACGAGGAGAGGAAGGCAGAGGAGGCTAGGAAGCGCGCGGAGGCCAAGGAGGCAGAAGAAGAGAGGAAGGCAGAGGAGGCCAGGAAGCGCGAAGAGGCCAAGAAGGCAGAAGAAGAGAGGAGGGCCGAGGAGGCCAGGAAGCGGCAACAGGCAGAGGAAGAACGAAAGGCGGAAGAGGCCAGGAAGCGCGAGGAGGCCAAGAATGCAGACGAGGAGAGGAAGGCAGAGGAGGCTAGGAAGCGTGAGGAGGCCAAGAAGGCACAAGAGGAGAGGAAGGCAGAGGAGGCCAGGAAGCGCGAAGAGAAGAGAGAGGAACAGGCCAGGAAAAAGAGTTTGGGTGGCGAAGAAGGCAAGAAAGCGGCAGAGGAGGAACGAAAGGCAGAGGAGGCCAGGAAACGCGAGGAGGCCAAGAAGGTAGAAGAAGAGAGGAGGGCCGAGGAGGCCAGGAAGCGCCAACAGGCAGAGGAAGAACGAAAGGCGGAAGAGGTCAGGAAGCGCGAGGAGGCCAAGAAGGCAGCGGAGGAGAGGAAGGCAGAGGAGGCCAGGAAGCGCGCGGAGGCCAAGGAGGCAGAAGAAGAGAGGAGGGCCGAGGAGGCCAGGAAGCGCCAACAGGCAGAGGAAGAACGAAAGGCGGAAGAGGCCAGGAAGCGCGCGGAGGCCAAGGAGGCAGAAGAAGAGAGGAAGGCAGAGGAGGCCAGGAAGCGCGACGAGGCCAAGAAGGCAGAAGAAGAGAGGAGGGCCGAGGAGGCCAGGAAGCGCCAACAGTCAGAGGAAGAACGAAAGGCGGAAGAGGCCAGGAAGCGCGAGGATGCCAAGAAGGCAGACGAGGAGAGGAAGGCAGAGGAGGCTAGGAAGCGCGCGGAGGCCAAGGAGGCAGAAGAAGAGAGGAAGGCAGAGGAGGCCAGGAAGCGCGAAGAGGCCAAGAAGGCAGAAGAAGAGAGGAGGGCCGAGGAGGCCAGGAAGCGGCAACAGGCAGAGGAAGAACGAAAGGCGGAAGAGGCCAGGAAGCGCGAGGAGGCCAAGAAGGCAGAAGAAGAGAGGAGGGCTGATGAGGCCAGAAAGCGCGAAGAGGCCAAGCGTCCGGTGGCCAAACAGGAGGAGAAAAAGCCGTCTGCAGATGCTGGTCAGGAAGCACAAGGTGATCCAACTAAAGCCGTTGGAAGTTTTCTGGCAGATTTGGGCAGGCTGGGCAGCAGCAGCAAGGAGAAAGAGGCACCCGCGCCAGTCGAGAAGAAGGCTGCACCGGCGACGGCTTCTATCAAGTATGACCTCTTTGACCTGTGAGGGCCTTTCAGCGTAGCAGGCTGCACGTCATAGGGACGAGTGAAGCTGCACCGAGAGGTGACATGCAGCGGGGCTTTGCAGTTGTGTTTGAATCTACGACTGCTGCCCTTTGCAATTGCTTTCGATAGGGACAACTTTAAATCATCGCCGATTTTCTCAAACCACAGACCAAGAATGTGCGAGCGTGCGAATCCAGCGAGAAAAAACACATATACAAGGCAGCTGTTCAGTTTTTAATTTTCTGATGGGTTCGATTCCGGTACGCAATGGCAGGGTGAAAAGACTGTCCTGTGCAAGTCGCCATGTTACAAATGTTGACCATGCCAGGCCTGTCAATTTGCGTGCCTAGGAGAGAAGCACGGGCGTTCGGCTTCGGCTGGGGACTCGGATCCGTGTGATGTTTCCCATGTCGACGCTGGGTGAGGATACAGTTTTGGATGTATTGTGGCCGAGAAGCTGCACAAACCGCAAGCAAGACCACCCTGTGTCTGGGAAGTACTTCACTTCCACTTACTCACAAAGACTCGGAGCGGATGCAGGTCCGCGCACAGCCCGGCGTTCGAGAGGCCTAGTGCTTTGCATGTTGCGTGTCTCCACGTCGCAGCCTCTTGCAGCAGCCTTCGGATCAGCCAGTCTGGTCTAGCGATGCTGGGACGTGTTCTGCGGCCTCAATGGTGGAACGTAAGAGCGGCCTCTGAGTTGCTTGGAACACGAGAAGACTACGACGTATGACCCGACATGGAGCCTGACTGGGCGGTCCTGGAAAACTCTGTTCCTTTACAAACGACCCTCTGGTGGGTTCTATGTTACTGTACAGAAGGGTAGGTCAAGAGTGGAATGACTTTAAAGGCGTTTGGGGCAATGTGATCCTAAGAATTCAGCACACCGTCATGTAGTAATGCACAAACAACAGCTAATGTATGTTGTATATATATATATATACATATTTACGGTGTACATTAACAAATAAATGAATAAATAAACAAGAAAATCAATAAATAAATAAATACCTAAACAAATAAGTCAATCAATCAAAAGATAAATCAATCGATAATAATACACAAATCCATACATACGACATGAATAACTAAACGAACAACAAGCTAAACAAAAAACTAATAAGTAAATATGCAAATGAATAAATAAATGAATAAATGTCTACACACGAGAGGGGCCATCCAGGGGGAAGAAAAACCAACATCCTACGTGTCTGGCTGAAACTCGGTCTCTGGCTCGATTCGAGGCTGGCGCGGCCTCCGGTGCCACCCTTCAATCTGGCTGATGCCGTGAAGAAGGTGCGCATGGCTGAGGATGCTTGGAACACCCGAAACCCGGAGAAGGTCAGCTTGGCGTACACGCAGGACGGAAGCCAGAAAGGCGATGTTGGCCCCCCCCCTTTTGGAGGCATGGAATGGCGATCGTTCAGGGAACCCTTTGCTTTGGTGGCCTGGGGATTTGAACTTTTGGTTCCCCCCCCCCCGGGAACACCACCAAATCACTGGGCTCCAAAGCAACTGGAGGGGAGCTTAGTCATTGTGTCTGGACCCCAAGATTGGGTTGTTTCTTGTTGGCTTCCTTTTAAAACCACTAAAAAGGGGTTACCCAAAAAGAGACAACCATATGATCTCGCTATCCTGCTGATGGGGTTTTGGCCATTGCCAGGATAGCGTCTGGCGGAATCGCGATACCTTCTTCCAGGGCAGAGACGCCATAGTGAGCTTTCTGACGGCGAAGTGGGAGAGAGTATCTTGGTATACATTTGGGGGTGTCTGTTTGTAGAAATCGGACCTCCCAGAATGGTGGTTTTCCCCCTTGGTTTCCCTTCACACCAACACATGGGGGGCTGGGCTTGGGCTTGGGGAGTGGGGGTGATTGGGGTGGGGGGCTTGATCAGGAGCAGGAGTACCGCCTCATCAAGGAGCTTTTTGCCTTTGAAGGGCACCGGATTGCAGTGCGCTTCCAGTATGAGTTCAGAGATGCCGCTACAGGCTCCATTGCGTGCGCTTGGGTTGGTTGTTTGAGGTTTGAGTATGGGCCTGGTATCTAGTATGTCCTTGTAGATGGCCATGGGTCAAAACCCCGTACTCCCAGTGAACATCCCAATCCGTTCTAAAATGGGTGGTGAATTCACCTATCCCAAAATGGTATTCCATTGGTTTTGAACCATGGCCAGATAGATACTACATGCATGGCAGGCCAGTGGTATCGAGCTTATGGCAACGAGAACTGGGACTTCGCGGAGAACGGCCTCATGCGCAGACGCCAGGCAGCCATGTTCTCGTGGTTGCACGCCCGCCCGTCGTACCTCGTGTTGGTTTTGCTTGTTGCACGACAGGCAGCTAACCGTCCCCTAACAACCCTAATCACTAATCCAAACCACAAAGAGGAAGCTGGAGAGCACTACAATTCACATTACTTTGCTTTCATTGCGGTTGAAGACTCGTTTGTTGCTGTGCCTCAGGCATCCATCAACGATGTTAGGATCTCCGAGAGTGCAACTTAGCTGCATGCCAATCAGCGTACCTTGCAATTGTTCTCAGTTGGACACGTCTGATTTGGGTCTTGGATGGACTTGGGGCACAGGACTTGGGTTTTTGCACAACAGTATTGAAATCGCCACGCGATCCGCCGACGCCAGCTGTGGTGCGGCCACTGCAGCGACTGTCAGCCGGACTACAGACTGGCTGGGGTGCGGGGAATGCTGATGAGGCGGCAATGCCGGTATGCAGCATAAAAAAAAAGAAAAACAGTGTTTCTTAATGTTTTGCACAGTAAAACTTCAACAGCAACCCCCTTCAAATACCCAAAATATAGACTTCTAAAAGCACAATAGATGCTGCGCACCGACACCCTTCAGCTTTGAAAGACAATTCCAAAAGAAGAGCAAGTTGCGGATTGCCATCTACACTCTCGACTAGAGTCGGCGGATTTGTTGCATTTCAGTCCAAAATCAAGGAAGGATACGTTTTAGTCTTTGATAGGCATTTGATGGGCTTGCTGTCAACTGATGACACATGATGACCACGATAATAAGAAGAACAAAGTTGCGCGACTTAGGATCGGCGATTCACCTGGCCGGAATTGGGACCACGACCCTTGGACTTCCCCAGTTTGACAGACATTGAAGGTGAGCACGGACAGTGAAGAGACCAGCTGTGTCCAGAATTGTAAAGACTTCAAAGCGGATTATCAAACTCTGCGCCAAGCAGGCTGAAGGCTCATTCGTGGCCGCTGATTTACCCTACAGACTGACTTCAGCGCTTGGCGCATTTGTACAGGCGCCACTTGACATGTTGGCTGCGACGGCCACTTGGCATCGGTGGTACGCATCAGTGCGACAGAGAGGAAAACTCAATGCTTTTGGCGAGTGTGGCCGCGTTACATGGCACCAGCTGCATACATCATGCAGCCATCTTTTTTGCCGGGTGCCGCGGCAGGCTCCCTCGACTCTCAAAGGCTACCTGGTCAGTTGCACAGCTTGCGATGTTCACATCCCAAATCGCCAGCCGGACAGTCTGCTTTTAGGCGACCTATGTGGTGGAGCATCGAGCTATTCTGCTTCGATCCAAGCCAAGCACCAAGGCGCTTGGCAGATAGCAACACACACACACACTGGTTGGCTTTGCCATTAGACAGGCTGCAGGCCTAAAATTTATGCACTACGGACAGTGCCATTCATGCCAGGCGGACAAGCTGGGGATTGTGTGCAAAGGGCAAGTGCTGAAAGGATATGAAATGGAAGGCCAGACTGCCATGGAAGTGCAGGAAGCACCAAATGCTCGATGTAGCCGATGGATCTTGCGCGAGCTGCTTCACATATTTCCGTGGCCAGGCTGGCTGCAGATCACCCGTGAGTCTAGCGCAAAGGCGGCCCGCTGACCGTGGGACCGCAGTCGGCACCCAGAGAGGGTGTGTGCAGCTGCCAAAGAAAAGATTCCAACCAGACGAATCCCATCGAACTGATGCCCTTTAATTTTTTTTGAGCAGAGTTGTTTTTGCTAGGCATGTACTCGCCTAGTCTTCGGGGGGAACTCTCTCTATGCCGCAGAGGCACCGGGTAGGCAATTCTGGCGGGGAAACCGATAGCGTTGGCAGTCCGCGTTCTTTTTTCAAGAAATCCCTGCGTAGGCAGGTTCGCGTAGGCGCTCCGTGTGGGCTTGTTGAGGTGTAGGCTTGCATAGGCACACTTCCAGTGTTTACACACCCGCGGAGGCTTCGCGTAAGCACGGCTGCCAGTGTGTAGGGCCGACACACTCCAAACAAGTCTAGTCATTTGATCGGCTGAAAGCCAAAGCCGAACATTTGGCAATTACACGCATCCATGTGCCTATTTGCGAAGTATGTCAGTTGAGATTTGGAGCCGCAGACGGATTCATAGCTCTGCTCATCCATGAGTCATAGTGGCTGTTGCACACACTATTTGTGATTCCGGCCCGTGCTACAAACAAATATTTGGGTTTGTTTCGGAAGTAGTGTTGGATTGTTGTGCATGCTTGCAATTGGCATATGTGCCACAAGAGACTCTTTTAGTTGGGATTTGTAGGAATGGTCATCAAACCCTTAGAGATTCCTGTTCAGGTAACCATGAGTATGGTCCACGGCATGAAAAGCTTGTCCACGGCATATTGCTCTCCCTTACCGTCAAAAAGCAGGGTTACCCCGATTCTCGTCGACAATGCAGTCCATCCAGCGCTTTGTTGGAAATTATCTGCTCTTGGGGCCCTACGTAAATTTCTGCTTGGAGCTGTTGTGGAAGGCTGGCGTTAGCGGCGGACGAATTGCCTGGGCTTTGATCGATGGCAAGGAAGCCGCTTTGCTGATTACAGGTTTGCATTTTTGACCGCAAAGACTTAACCCCAGGGGTTCTCCTTGGAAAGTGGACCTGCAACTTTCTTGGCTTAGGTCGGCTTGGGAGTGCTGCTGCGGCCGCTCAAACCCGGTGAGACTCCTCAAAAAGACCGCCAGGAGTCTCGCAAAAGCAAACAAAGTGGGCGCAGACCGAATGACATGGCCACGGGCACTGTCAGGGGTTTGTGTTAAACTGGGATATGGAACCCTCAAAATGGCAAGGCTATTGGTTTCCCTTTAAAACCATTCCCAAAGAAAGACACCCACATGAGCAACTGGTTTGAAATGTTTCAATGGAGGCAAACGATCCTTTTTTGGACATATCTTCTTGTACTCGCGCTTGCGAACTATTGGCAAGATGAGTCTTTCAGCAAGTACCACGTGAACAGCTTCTCATCACGCTTCTGGCCACATGAATCAATGAAGCTGCCGGTTCGAACAAAACTTAAGAAAATGAGAGGTAGTCCATGCCGGGCCAATCAACATGCGGGTCCTGATGCTACGGCTTTCTCAGTAGGTGAAACGCGGCTTCTGTTTGGAAGTTCGAACTACCCTCCAACCAATCAACATGGAACCTTGAAAAGGGACATGTCCAAACCAGGACACCCCGAAAGTCATGTTTCGTGTAAATTGATAGGAGGGAGCATGCACATTCCGTACTTGTTGACAGCGTCCAGGAGTCTGATGATGAAAAGATTGCATGGAGAGCTGAAGCCGGGGGCTAAGATGTGAGGCTCAGCATGATGTCGTGCACCATTCATTCTGTGGCCTTTTCTGGCCTTCAGGATATCTACATCAGCAGCTTGGAGTTTGAGGTTATGCACAAAACAGTCTCTGTGCGCAGGCCGTTGTTCTGTTTCTTGTAGTGTGGACCAGCGACTTGGATGGCAGGCGGCCAAATGTTTCCGCCAAGTCGCTGGGCATTGTCAAAGAGGCCGGCCATTTAGCTGCCTTTGACGCTTTGCATCTCGGCATGGGGCTTCAGGGAGATCGCGTCTTCGGCTACCCGAAAGAAAACTGGCTGCAGACCACGAGGAAATTTAGGCCGGAAGCGCTTCGCGCATGGCTTGGTGCCCTCCGCGTGCAATACCAACTCTTGCCGTCTCGCCTTCTGACTAGGCAGAAGGAACTTGGCTGGATCCGCATGGACTGCCGAAGCTTCGTGTTGCACACTTGCAAAGTGAAGCAAGCCGCCATGGCGTGCACTTTGGACACTGCGTGCGCAAGTCCAAATTTGCAGAGGACGGATCAGATATGGGGCAGGGGCTACTTTTGCAGTGCACGGCACTGAAGCCGCAAGTGGCCAAGTGCTTTGCAGAGGCTGGACATCGCACACATGTGCATATTCGATGATATATATATATATATTATATGTATATATATATATATACATATATATGTATCACATGTATGAGTGTGTGTGTGCATATATGTAATACGTGTGTATCATATTATTGTGCACATATGTGCTACTCCTTTCAACTTGCTCCAGAATTACTAGTTTTGTATGCCATCGGATATCCTTTACAAAGCTGTTTATTGAGGAATTTGCAGGACTTCCGAAGACTGTTTGAGGCTGGCAAGACTTGGAGAAGCTTACAGAGCAGCCAAAGTTGACGACATGAACTTACCAGTAAATCTACAGAACTCTGGCATGCACGTTCTTGGGAGGAGATTGAGAGACATAATTGTTGCAAAGTTACAGTGACAACACCACAACACGACGGATACTGCCACGCAGGTTTGTGACACAAATAAAGTGGCGAAGGTTTCCCCGCTTGCACCAATGCTACACAATGCAGTGCACACTTCAGAAACTTGACACACATCTTGAAAAGAGAATCAAGCAGCGTACGTGTCATGGGTAGAGCGCAATTCTCTGTGGATGCGAGCGCAGCAATGTCTTCAACAAGGTACTATGCAGCAGGGATGCACAGCTTTGCCGAGCTTTTCCGCCCAGTTTTGCTGAGCTTTTCAGTTTTCCGCTTTTTGCCATTGTTTTCCCCGAGTTGTCCAGTCAGTTTTTCCAAGCGCCCCCTCCCAGTTTGATCTTACATTTTTTCCCGCGCCACTGCCTCGCCTAGTTGGTGTAGCGGCGTTTGTGCGGATACCTACCAGTATTATACGGCTGAAACTTGCAGTCCTGTTTGTGCTTCACGCGGTGAAATTGATGTGTCTTGGCTGCTTTGGACGTTTCGTTCAAGATTGCAGGGTTTGAACCCCAAGCTGCTTTCCCAACACTTCTTCTGGTTTTTGTGCCCCGCACGCAAACACTCGGTGGCCCCACGCAGACGCTGAGCACTCCCCGATTCTGAAACAAAATCAATAATGCAAAAAAACAACACAACACTGGAGAAAGACAGCTAAAACCCAAAAATCTAGGTCCATGGGTGGGGGGCACTAGTACCATATGAATATAATGCATATACATATACATATATATATACATACATATATACATATATATATATACATATATATATATATGCTTACACAGCACAGCTGTGCAGCGGACTGCAGTCTGCTGTGAATGCACGTTGCACCACCAGGCGCTGTTGATCAGCTGGCAGCATTTGCCGGTGAAATCCGCTTTGTACACCTTGGAGTGGATGTCGCAGGCCGGTTGAAACGTTGGAGCAATCGAGTCCTGGTTGAGATAGAGTGCAGGATCGGAAAAGCACTCATGTTGCTTTGGACAAGACCAAATCCAACACGGGCTCGGGACCAAAGTGCATGGCAATTCTATCGTTTTCCTTGGCAAATTTTGCCAAGGCAAGATTCAGGGCCTTGCTGCAGACTCCACATACTACTTCAGGCGGCCTCCCAGTGCCAAAGCTGGTTTGAAATCGTGGCTGACAGGGTCAGTGTCCAGATCCTTGTGCCGGGAATGAGCGCAGACAAGCCGCAGAGCGTATGTGCCAAGGCAGGCTCCATTTTGACGTTGGTTGCAGTGCCTTTTGCATGCCAGCTGTCTGAGATCAGCAGCGAATGGGGCGAAGCGCAGACAGGCACATTCAGCGTACAAGTCTGTCAGATTCATCTTGTTGGTGCTCCGGGAATGAGAATTAGAATGACCTCGAGAGAAGCCATCTAGCTGGTGGTTTCGTTTATTCCCTTCCGGATCATTCCCACATTCCCCACGGCACAATGGCACCAATCGCAAGTCATGCAGCCCACAGGCCTTCCAGTCGATGTCACCGAGCAAACTTCGATGAGTTTCGATCCCTTGGTGCGCCCAGACGTCAACCGCCGATGAGTGGATTTCCTTGCTGAGAAGCGCCAGAGATAAGCCAAAGAGCCTGGTGACAGGCCAAAATCCGTGGAAAATGTGGTGATTGCGCCTGTGCCAGCATTTACACTCATGAGATACCCAAGATCTGTATGACGTTTTAATTCGGGCTTGCCTTGGCTAAGAGCTGGGACCACTGATAGTACTGCATTACCAGTGGAAGGGTGTTGGTCACCAATCAGCCTAGCCATGCCATGTGAAATCCCACAATGGTTGGTCCAAGGTAAGCATTGTGAAAACTTCATCCTCTCGAAGTACTCCTACTTGATGCATTTGGACCAGGCTCGCAACTTCGCTTTTCGGTTTTACTTCAGCTTGGCTGCGACGGAGGTGCTTTGTCGGCGCTGCGGCTGTGCTTGCACAAGTCACGAGGTGGTCGGCGAGTACGGGCGCCTTGCTTGTGTTTGTTTTCCAGTTTCTCATCAGTCCTAATTCCGTTCGAGGAAATCTCATGCTCAGTGGACAAAAGAAAATGCAGAGCGCAGGCGGGAGATTCCTGGCTTGTTTGATTGCCATAACATTTCCTTGCTTGCTAAAGCATGCTCCCCCCCCCCCCCCCGCAATCATGGGCTTTCCTGGGCTCAGATATTGGCGAGAGTCGCACATGAAGTACACTCACGTATGGAATGCATTTAGTGTTTGCAAAGACAGCAAGACAGTTGTTTAAAGCATACAGCTGCACCCGGAAACCTTGGCGGCCGTCAGGCAGCGAGAAGACCAACGACGACAAGCTGGCAACAAGAAGTCACCTGCCGCAATACCTGAGCGCCTGAGCTTATCAATGGTCGTGAGATCAATCTGCTTGTGACAAAGACTGGAAGACAAGGCTACTGTACCAAAAAGCCGGTGGCTGTTATTGAAGATGTTGCGTCCAAGGATTCCTTGCCAACCATGGCAGCCAGATGATGCTCCGGAGGAAGCCTGAGTTTGGCTTTGAATACTGAAGTTGGACAAGCATTGCACGTCTCACGCCTTGCACTTTGCCTGTATTTCTAAGGCAGGTGCTACAAAGGTAGAGTACGTCATCCGAAAGGCGCCTTTGGATGCCACGTTTGCCAGCGAGAAGCTCAAGCTGGGGTAAACTGGGGTAAAGGCATGGTCATCAGCCTTTCACTACCGGCTTGAGACAAACCTTGTGTGCGTACCTATCAATCGAAGTATGATCATGCCTTTGACACTGCAAGGTATGCCGCCTCTCTCAGAAATCATGTTCTGCTACTGATGGGCTTGGACGTTGGAGACTGGCATTCTGTTTCCGGATCATAACATACATGCAAGCTCGGGAATGCGATCCTTTCCGAAGGCGAGCATCCTTTTTTTGCATGGCTGGCTGTTGCCTTCGCGATTGACGTGCTTTTGCTTGGCTGCTTCTTTTGCTACGCAGTATTTTTCCTCGTAGCATTATTGCTGGCACCGGCATCATCATCGTCGTCGTCATCATCATGGTTTGATTTTCAGTTACTTCATGGTTGCTGCTATGAGAGCTGTCGTTGCTGCCGCTGCCGCAGCTGCGCCATTGCTATGCCTGAACACACGGAGTTGGCGGTTGTTTACGAACGTACTTACATAGCAAACCTTGGAATGTCGTCTCCCCAAGCGTACTACACCAACACGTAATCCTTAGTGGACACAGTGATATTCATGCTGCGCGAAAACATGACATGAATCAAATACGACGAGCATTGTTTTGAGTAGTTCTGAGTGTGCGGGGTTTGTGGGAGGTGAAGGAAGCACGCAACTTCTACGAGACTCTGGGTGTGAAGCCTTCAGCAGCTGCCAAGGATGCCACCCATACCTTGTGAGCTTGCAGAGTGCATGTTGAAAAGGGACCACCGCCGCCACGGCCACCGCCAGCACCCAGCACCAACACCACCACAGCAGCGGCAGCAACAGCAACAGCAAAGGCGACCATCAAAAAAACGGCGGTGGTGCTGCTGATTCTGCTGTTTTTATTGCTGCATGCAGGATATCCGCAATGCCTACAGACAAATCGCCTTGCGCATTCATCCAGACAAGGCCAGGCGAGGGTGGGCCCGGATGAACCTTCTCAACAGCAAGCCTACCCCCTTTTTGTGTTGGCATCTGGCAACTTGACGCCAGGTTGGCTCAGACACAGACCCAAAGGTGCTGGCACAGTCTGAGGCGACCCGCGACAGCCCACAGGTATGCAACCCTGTGACCTAAGCGCATGAGGTCACACGGCTCTCAAGAATCAAGTATCCAAATTTGGTATCTTGGTAAATGGAACCACAGACTAAAACCAGCGGTTTGCCCTTAGCTCTTCAGTTTTGAGCCACATGTTAAGCACAGGCGTCGAGCTGTGAGTTGGAATTGATAGACGCAAGATGGTAGAGTCGAGAGGCCGCCTTCAAGTTGGTGTCCTCAGCTTATGAAGTCCTTGGTGACGAAGGCCTTGCCATCGGGCTTGGCTTCAGATTCTCGGATGCTCTATGGCAGGAAAGAGAGCCTCATACAATCACACCACAAGGACTGTGCTCAAACTGTCATGTTTCTGTCGATCAACCGATCGACGTAAAGAAATCATTTCCTGCATAGTCTTGTTTGGATCAAATTGGCAGGCTGCAAAGCAAAGCCTCACCTGCTCAACAAACCGGGCTACAGCCTCAGTACGGCCTGGGCGTGGTTGGACATGCAGGTTCGGCTTGAGACAAACAGCTGGCGCAGGATATAATTATTTCGCACGTAGCATGTGATTTGCATTGCAATACATGAAACTACTTTGTGGTAGGCTTGCCTTGCCGTCCCTTGAATCGCAATGCATTGCATCCTTACACACCTAAACAAGCGCGTTTAGACTAACAGACACTCACACATGTATGTACACACGAACACATGCATGAGCACATGTGCGCATGCACACAATGACATGCACACACAGACAAGCACTCATACATGCACACTCCTCACATATTCGCACAAAGCAACCACATTGACACCTTCGCATTTACCCCACATTGCAGGGTAGCATTCGCACATATGCGCATACGCAAACAGAAGACTCAAACAACTTGCACGCAAACGCATGCACACACACACACACACACACACACACACACACACACACACACACACACACACACACACACACACACACACACACACACACACACACACACACACACACACACACACACACACACACACACACACACACACACACACACACACACACACACACACACACACACACACACACACACACACACACACACACACACACACACACACACACACACACACACACACACACACACACACACACACACACACACACACACACACACACACACACACACACACACACACACACACACACACACACACACACACACACACACACACACACACACACACACACACACACACACACACACACACACACACACACACACACACACACACACACACACACACACACACACACACACACACACACACACACACACACACACACACACACACACACACACACACACACACACACACACACACACACACACACACACACACACACACACACACACACACACACACACACACACACACACACACACACACACACACACACACATGTGTGTGTGTGTGTGTTCTGTCTGTGTCTGTGTGTCTGTGTCTGTGCTGTGTCTGTGGCTGTGTCTGTGTCTGTGTCTGTGTCTGTGTCTGTGTCTGTGTCTGTGTCTGTGTCTGTGTCTGTGTCTGTGTCTGTGTCTGTGTCTGTGTCTGGGTCTGCGTCTGCGTCTGCGTCTGCGTCTGCGTCTGCGTCTGCGTCTGCGCTCTCCCCCCCCCTTCCGGTTGAATTCTCGGGACTTTGGGGGGGACCTGTCGGGATGCGTGTGGCCTGCCTGCTCCATTTGCACTCGGCAGTCTGCGAGTTTGGAGCATGCATGCATTGTGCCGCGGTTGGGTCCCGGCTGTTCGATAGGAGGCTCGAACCCCCCCCCCCCCTTTTTTTTTTCATCATGGCTAGGGTATCTACCAAGTTTCTTATGCGCCCGCCTTACACACGTCTTTGGGACCGCATTCCAAGGGTCCTATGGGACACGTTGGCGGATGAGTCCTTCTCCCCGAGACAGACGGACGGGGAGCTGTTGGTCCTGATGTGCCTGCCACACACACACACACACACGCACGCACACGCACACGCACACGCACACACACACACACACACACACACACACACACACACACACACACACACACACACACACACACACACACACACACACACACACACACACACACACACACACACACACACACACACACACACACACACACACACACACACACACACACACACACACACACACACACACACACACACACACACACACACACACACACACACACACACACACACACACACACACACACACACACACACACACACACACACACACACACACACACACACACACACACACACACACACACACACACACACACACACACACACACACACACACACACACACACACCACACACTACACACACACACACACAGAGCACACACACACACA